CCACTTTATTATCGCTTTCTGGCCCATGTGTGATAACGTCCTTAGTCTGGAAAAAATCATCCATTTGACCCATCTACCTTTGCAGTATTTCATGACAGCTTCACAGTGCCAAAATAAGGGCAAAAGAAACAATGCTGAAGAATTAAAAGGTCACAGAAAGAAAAGATTTATATTACTAAGACTTATTATTATTATTATTATTATTATTATTATTATTATTATTATTATTATTATCCCAATTTTAAAATCACTTTTCCATTTATTAATACTATCTTGAATTGAGAAAAGGAAGGTCATGAGCAGCATGTCATAGAAACAAATAACATGAGACATAAAAGAAGTTTGCAAGGTACATAAGAACCAACAAAGAACGTTATTTATAAGGGACAAGTTGTAAATGACAAAAATATGTAAATGAATGAAGAATATTGATTAGAGGAAACACAGAAATAGGATATGAGATAAAGAGTAAGTCTAATAGAAGGGAAGGGGGAAAGAGAAAGAATGGAAGACGCTAGATAATTGAATAATTGCAGAATGTGAATAGATAGATGATGGTTGTATTACAGTAGTATATTACAATGTTGTCAAAAAGGATGTTGAGAAGCTGGAGCGTGTCCAGAGGAGGGCAACCAAAATGGCAAAAGGTCTGGAAACCATAAAGCCCTATGAGGAGAGACCTAGAGAGCTGGGTATGTTTAGCGTGGAGAAAAGATGGTTAAGAGGGGATATTATAGCCCTCTTTAAATATTTGAAGGGAGGTCATATTGAGGAGGATGCTACCTTGTTTTCTGCTGCTCCAGAGAATAGGATCTGGAAGAATAGATGCAAGCTGCATGAAAAGAGATTCCACTTAAACATTAGGAAAACACTCCTAAAGGTAAGAGCCATTTGATAATGGAAGACGCTGCCTTGGAGAGTGGTGGAGTCTCCTTTGGAGCTCTTTAAACAGAAGCTGAACACACCACTAGATCCATAGTCTACAGCCAAGCCCTCCGATACCGTTGTACCTGCTCAGACCCACAGGACAGGGATGCCGTACTCAAGGAATTACAACAAGCATTCCTCAAACTATAGTACCCACCACATGAAGTGGAAAAAACAAATAAACTAGGCAGGACTGATCTATTACAGAACAAATTGAAGAGGGGAAATGAGAGATCCCCACTAGTGGTCACCTACAGCTCCCAAGTGGGACCACTCAGGCGCA